GACTTCCGATAAGCGGAGGAGAAGATTGATGATCGAATGATGCGTGATGCACTGTCGAAATTTCTGGCAACTGTCGGCCATTTCAATCTGCGAAATTCAAGGATCGGTCATATCGTCCAATTTCCCAGCCGTAAAATGCAGACGAGCGCGATCGTGTAAACTGCCACGGGGAGTGTTGCGGATCGATGACAAGTCGAAGTCTTTGTGTTTTGGATTAATCGTTCGGAGTAATGCTCGTTCGCGAACGTCGGGATTTTGGTTCTATATTAATCCTGCGAATACTGTCGATACTTTTGAAGGATCGACGTATTTCGTGACAAATCAATGCGAATTTGCGACACACGAATTCAAAATAAACACCGAACAGAAGCAAAGTATCGATTGGAGCACGTAGCGAAAAGAACATATTTTTGGTCACATAAAAATGAAAATTGCCAAAGTATTTAAACAGTGATACTCTTGTGTAAATTTCCTGGAATTAAATAGACATTTCTCTAAAGGTTTGTCCGTTTCTGTCTTGTGGAAAAACCAAGAAGAAAACCAGCGAGCAGGAGTTTATACCTCTTTCCGTTTCAACGTCAAATAGTCACTGTATATTACGTGTACATTCATCGCTTTATTACAGTTAATGAGTCGCGAACGGAATAATTTCACATCATTTTATTAACATTTATTAAGCCGGCCATTTACCGCTCATTCGGCCCTCGTATAAATTCCTCCGTTGTTGCAATTCCTTTTTCCCTCATTTCACAAGCACCGCCCGTCTTATTGCGTTCCTATCTCTCTTCCCTTCTTCCGTGATACTTTAACTCTTATTTTTCCCCCCGTCTATTCCCGGCGCGCCCCCGTCAAATATTTAAAGGTTTCCTCTTTTTCAGCGAGTCGCTGTAAACGTATCGCGTCTATTTTTCAGCAGACAACCGGCGCAGAAAACACACCTGCCTCTATAGTTTCCCGTTATTCCCGCGTTCTAATTACTGTTGCGTTTCGCCGCGTTCGGCCGCGCGATATCCGAATCGATATTTTCATTCCAATCGCACGGCTCCGTGTGATTTGTACTACGAATTTCGCGCGAAGACGGCCAAGGGGACGGCTCGTCTGCGAGCAGAGAAAGAGAGAGAGAGTATTCGAGGGTGCGATGGGAGTGATCCGCGAAGGTTCCATTTGTACCACGCAAGTCCGCCATCGATCACGATGGCTCCCGGGATTCGTTACGATTGGCAGAGACATAATATCCATGGATCGCCTTCTTTATTAGCGGCATTCGGATCCAGGTAACCGGAGAATCCGTCACGGTAAGGCGCGCCGTGTCCCGGATGGTGGATATGAATTTCATATTTCACGATAATACCGCGGGATATTATATATCCCACGGGGCAAACGAATCTTGACCCCGGTTGCAGCAGTTTTCACGTGCCCACGGTGCGGGATGGTATCCGCGCGTGAATTTTCCCCGAGCGTTACTTCGCCTCGACGTTTCATATCGACTTCCTCTCTTTCGCTCCTCTCGCACGGCGGCATCGCGTTGAAACGTCCCGTCGATAGAACGCGAACTGATAAATCGATATCAAAATGTGCAGTTAATCGAGGTTCGGAACGAAAGAAACTCGACTCTCATGGCCGGCTATCCGTGTCACGGTAAAAATTTTATCGCGTAATTCTCTTGTGATATCTGATGGCTGCGCGTCCTGTTACTTTTTATTCCACCGTTCTACGCGCCTCGTTATTTCCAGAAAAAAAATCGGGGGAAAAAATACAAGGTGTAAGTGGTAATTATAAATTTCGCAACAATAGACGTTAATAAAGCGCTCGCGTTATTAATGAGGGAGAGATGAAGTTGAGCATTATTCCGCGTCGCGAAAATGCGCGTCACCGCGCGCGTGCGTAACGTGATTCGAATGTTGCGAAATTCCGAACTTACGGTCGCGACGTGAAAATAATCAAGGGGAAGCTCCGACGTTACGTCGAATAATATTTAATCTGTTTTGAATTTAATTCGAGTGGAATTTTTTCCCCGGCGATTTAAATTTTCATTCAACCCACCCTCCGCCGTCCGCCTCCGCAAATGACGTCCAGGTAAACTGAAAATATTCCGCGTTATATATTTATATGAATAACTCACACGGCGGAGTCCATTACGTGCGTTCACGTCGTACGAGGAATTCCGTTATTTCCGGAACGGCTCGCACGATTATCGACTGCTATATTTCGCTGTCGATACTATTCATAGGCGAAACGTGCCAACGTAACTGGTATTCGATTAATCGTTCTATCGTTTCACGAGTCGTCGGTTTATCATCGCCCGGAGCGGAGCTTAGCAGACTCCACGGTTATTCCCTTCGCTTGACTTGCGAGCAATAGCTTCCGGTTTCATCTCGAGTACGTTGGCTTCAAGTGCTTCGCTGTATAAAGTGTACATATACGAAGCCCGTAGTTAAGAACGTGAGAGTAATCGGAAAGTTCAAGTCGAGAGGGTTGCTAGCGCGCCGTAATCGAAGCGAATCGATCGAGAATCTCAGAAGAGAATATCCTCTATTCTGCTCGGAAGAGAATATCCTCTATTCGTGCCACGGTGTTATCCCGCCGGGATAAAGAATATTCGAAGACGAGGCGACGTTGATGCTTATAATTGGCGGATATCCCAATCGTGCGGATACAATGGTCGTGGTGTTAACACTTGAACGACCGCGTTTACCTGCGGAAAAAGTTTCGCCTGTCGGCAGCAGATTTCGAGAGTTCGCTCAAGCTGAAAAGACGAACATCTTCCTTGTGTATGCAAAAGAGAAAAAGATTTTGTTCAGGTTTAATAAAATTGTTTAATCGAAACAAATGTGCTTCTTCAAACGGAGCAAACAAACGAATGTTCAGTTGAACAAACGAGATTGTTTGGCTTCTCAATCAATAAATATCTTTACATCAAATAATAATGTTTCTTTTGTATTTTCATTTAAACATTACAACAGTTGTCGCAGGTGATCAATTATTTGAAAGAAGTAACACTAAGTTAGAAAAGTATTAGAGGACTTCTTCGTTCCAGCGGAACGATATTTAATATCAAATGAAATCAAATGTTTTGATTGAAGGGCAAACTATTTCCCTAAAATAATATTATTTTCCTGTTTTATCAAACAACATGATTGTTACTCCAGTGAGACATCGATACTTTCATTCAAACAAAATGATATTTGATATTAAATTATGTTATTTATATTAAACAAGCCCCACAGGTCAAACAAACACGTATATTAAATCCAAATAAATCCTTTTCTCTGTGCACAAATCGATTAATCTACGTCCACATTGCTCCAGCAGTGATGTAATTATCGACAATCACTTCTTGATAAGGCGGAAATCGCTCACCCAACAAGCTCACGTATCCGCGGCAACGATTGACAAAGCGTTAACTTTGTCGCTCGTTTCCTCGCGATATCGTAATGTTGGCGCGTCGATTCCTCCCGATTTTTGCCTATCCCGCAATATCGCTCGAAACATATTTCAGTTTACCGCACGAATTACACATCGCGAGTCGTCCATTGTAATTCGCACGTTCTGCGACCGAGGGTAATCGAGATCGAGTTAACACGGGGATCCGGGAATTCGACTTCGCTCACTTCGGATTATTCCTCGCAACGTCGTGTCGCGGCTGCTTGCCCGATAAATGTTCAACTGAACCGCCACTAAATATGATAACAAGCCTTAACCGTTTTAATTCGGGCGCGAACCGGTCCGAATGCGGCGGTATGAATCACGAACCGCCAATTAGCATGCGGCGAAATGAACTGCGATAATTTTCCAGCGGCCGGTTGATGCCTGGGAATTAACCGCGGAAGTCGTAACACGCATACTTCTCGTGCTCCACTTCGGATTGCCATATTTTAATTAATGAAATGCGAGCGAACTTTTACGTGATTAACGAGTCTATCGGACAATTCTAACGTAACGCCCCGTAACGTACGACGCGTCGATGCGAAAAACGCGCGGGGTATTGGCACATTTTTCATTTTTACCGCCTATATTTTAATTCCCCCGCGCGAAGCAGACGGCAAACATTCGATATCTGCCGCGATTTTAGCCTTTGAGCGTAGCGATAGAACTGAAGTGTTTCGTAAATTGACGGTGCATTCGCGGCGCAATCTCCCTGGAAGTATTGGCGCAACAAATAAAAACTCGCGATACCGCGTATGCAGCGTTTGGACGGCGAATTATTGCCGATATCGAAATAATCGGCGCTATAGATAGACGAGGAATTAACGAAGCTCCTCATACTCTCGGCGAGATCGAGTAGCGGCGGATCTCCGATCGTGCGGACCGGTTGTTACAATTTTTGGCTCCGCTCGATCGCGGATAACATTCGATTCGCAATTTGAAATGAATTCCTGGAAAAATCACGTTACGCGCCCCGCACATTCTTCCTCTCCGCACCGGGCTTCGCCGAGCCATCGCGGCGATTAGCGATGAATTTTTTTCCCAACGCGAAATTTTCTTTATTGCTTCACGCGAGTCCGTTATCTGTGCTGCGGCAATAGCCGATTCTGTTCGCAGACACTTCATTTTACCAGAACAAACAAGCTTTTAATCACAGTTTCAGTTTGCAGCTATTGTCTTTGCATCGCGGCCGCGCGCGTTTACCCCGCCGCCGCGGCAAAATCAATACCCCCTCCGCCCCCCTCCTCCCCCCCTTTTCCCACCCGTCCTGCTTCTCAACCTCCGTCGTCGTCGGCGCCGTAGCACGCTTAATATTTTTCCACGGTTACGCGTCCGTTTAGCTACCTTACCGCGGATGGCGCCGGGATTACGCAATACACGTAGCCCATTGTATTCCGCAAAAGCGCATAAAGCCGGCGACATAACGGGCTCCTCATTGGCGCTTGAATATTGGATAAGTTCGGCGCGGCGAGCTCCGGGGAAACTGCGCGATTACGGCGCGCCCGGTGGTGTCGGGCTTGAGAGTTTCGTCGACAATGACTATAAGAGAGACCGGCGAAATTATTATGTTTCAGCTCTGCCCGACGGAAGGCCCGTTATCGCATCGGAACGTGAGCGCTACGACCCGGGAGACATGCTGAGGGCAAATTGCACCCTGCCGCCGTCGAGGCCACCGGCTTACCTCTCATTCACGCTGAACAACATGCCGGTAAGTGACGCCCTATCGACACGATTGTCGTATTATCGAATCGTAGAGGGCGAGATATAGATAAATAGTTACATAGACAGATAGATGGATGGACGAGTAGATAGATAGTGGATGGAAGATAGAGACATTTGCGATTAGGGCCCGATGTTGTTGATTGTACAAGCGCATTTGCGCATATTTACACACGTGCGAAATCTTAAATTGCGAATCGTCAACCGGTTATTTTAATCCTTGCAAGGGGGAAGGTCGAGATGTGGAAAAGCGGGGCCGTGAGTAGGGGGGACCGGGGGCTGGTTGGCTGAAGGAGTACATTGGTTAATCGATTATTTCGATTGTTTGCCGACAAAATCGAGCAGGCAGGAATTTCATAACCGTCTTCGACACGTCCGGGATCTCAGCTTGTTCGATTCTGCAATCCGTTAGAATAGAAGAAAAATCAATTAGCCACGTAATCTCGGTTTCCGCTGAACCAAGTATACGAATATGCATTCTGTCTGATTAAAACAAGGAAAAGGCGCAAAAATCATACGGAACGAACATTGCGAGAGTCTTCAGACGCAGGATCAGATTTCGCGATGCGGTTCGCGCGGAATCGTCACATTCGTAACTGTGCAAGCGGGCTCGCTCGAGAGGGAATAAAGAAGCGACGAGAAGTAACCCGCCACTTGACGTATCTCCCTAACCGAGTTCGCGTAAACTCGCCGTTAAAAATGAAACGCCGAATGCACTTAGTAGGAGCGCGAATTATCGCGTTTTACCGCGTTACCTCGGAGGAAGGAGGTGAATTGCGGAAGACCTTGCTTTATAAATGGAGGGGGGGGGAGGGGGACTCGCGTCTTAATTGATACGATCGCGTCCACGTATCCGGCGTGTATTATCGCACGCTTCGCGCGCACGCAAACAAATTTCGCCCTTCCGTACGCTCGCGCGGAAACTTTCCGTCCGAGTCAATAAGCATTATTTGACCGCTGCGAATTATCGTGCGGTTTAACTTTCGGCTAATTATGATTTTATGCGATCTCCGAGCGTTCGGGCCGGGTAATACAGCTGAAACGAACACAGCTGAGACAAAGTTACGCGATATTTAAATAATTAATTTACTATTCTCCTTTTTTGCGTTGGACGCGCGCGATAAGCTGGACTCGCGGGCGCGCGAGTGTGCCCGCGGACGTGTGTGCGCGCGCGATGCGATAAACTCGATTGCGCCGCGTTATCGTCGATTTTGATTTCTACACTGATTACCCGTAACAAACGCTTGTTATGCCTGTCGGCGATTGATTCGTTTGGCACGCCGGACGATTAGCCAAATGTGGCAAAAGCGCGAAAACGTCCGGGGGTGTGTGTACACGTTGCGAAAGTACCTCGCGGGAGTTTCTCTCCTCTCTCTCTCTCTCTCTTTTCCCCTCACCCTTTCCTCTTTTTATCAAACGGTCCATTTAACAGCTGCAGCCCTTTTAACTCTGTACACCGCTCAGTCGGAGCCCGTTTTCCTCACATCTTCTCGCTCCTCCGTGTGTATGGGTCCTCCTTTTATAAAAATTGTTAACCGGAGGGCTATTTGCTCTCTCGCCAGCCCATGAAACTCGTAAGGCTCATTGGAAATTGCGCGCCGGGATCCCGATATCGATTTTCAATTTACGGAATATATGTATCTGCACTGTCGCCGCCGCGCTATTATCATCGCCGCCGATGTTTATTGTAGCAGGAAACTGCCTTAACCGTTTTCGGAAAGGGGATCGTTCCCGCGCCCGCCTCCCTTTCTGTTTTTCTTTTATCACCGCGAAATCACGCGCGCTCGGAAATGGATTCCATTTATTACCCGTGTCTTCTAACTGTACCTTAATGTGCGTGCCGTTCTCGCGCGCTTGCTCACCCGGGCACTACGAGGGCTCATTTCAGAGCTCAATTTAGTCGGAAATAATTCCAACGTGCACTTTTTCCGCACTCAGTGCGAGGGGAGGGTTCGTCTACCAGCTTCTTCTCTCTCTCTCTCTCTTTCTCTTTCGCCGACGAGAGGCGGCGGGAATTGACAGACCTTAAAGGGGTTAAGCAAACTCTTTGTTCCGTGGAAATGTGTAGTAATATGCGTATCGTCTGTTTGCCTACCGCGCCGCGATCCCGTTCTTACGTCGAATTGAAATCCCGCCGGAATTGGAGCACGGATGATTAAGCCTCAGCCGGCCGCGTCGCGACGTCGTCGCCGAAGTAAGAGGAGGTTTTATCAGGCGCGTCCGCGGGATAAGGGAATTTGAATAATCGGATAATCCGAGCGAGAGAGCCGGAGCAAAGGAGAAAGAGAGAGAGAAAAGCCGGAGAACTCACCGAACGAAATACTAATAACCACGATACGAGCAAAAATGTTGTTGGCTAACTTTCGCCGCGCGGGACGCGCCGCACGGGCGGTAGCCGCCGGCGATGCATTACCCGTAATCCCCGGAGATGATGTCGTGTGATCTCATCAGCCGATACGGCTAAATGCAAAACGGGAGCGCGCGTGGTCCGTGCTTGATCGTCCGCGAGAATCCGAAATTCGCCCCGTTGACTTTGACCGAGCCGGGATCCCGCGCTAAGCGCGACTTGTCGTCTCTCACCTTGCTCGCCGACGACCACGTTTTTTAACGCCGGAGACGCTTTTATTTTTTATGAGCTTTAGATAAAACAAGGAAGATCGTTCTCTAGCTCTCGCATTCGTAATTCTTTCAGACGCGAGGAAAATTATCAGACCGAGCCAACGACGAGGGGAAGAGCTCTTTTAATAAAACGTTATCCGCACGGAGAGAAATGATTTTGCTGTTGCAGCGAAATCGTATCGTCGCTAACGCATATTCGTTGCGACAGCGATGAAATCTAGCTGGCATGGCTGAATTAGCAGATTATTCATAATTCGGGTAGAAACAGTTCTATTGCCAGGGTAGGAAAGTCCTGCTGAATAAATTCATCCTTAGTATACGTTCATTTGCTGTTTATGGCAAAATAGTGTTTTCCAACATTTACTAATTTCTTCTTACAGTAAAATACTTAGTAAGTTCAATAAAACAAATATTGTTATGATCCAGCGAATGCTAGTTAGCATTTTTAACAAATTATTTAGCTGTCCATATAGTAACTGACAGATTTCGCTGCGACAGCAGAAAACTTGCTCTGCCATCAAGTTATTTTTATCCGTATGTTGACGAGAACTTTGCAATATTGACAAATTCGCTTCGGGCGATTTTCACGTAAAGACGAGGTATCTCGTTTCCCGAGACGAACAAGTGAACGATGATCGAATATACCGAATTAATTTCCACGGGCGTCGAGAGAATGTTCACCGAGTCATGCTCGATAATTTCGGATTAAATATTTCCGTTGTCAGGATTCCCCGCTTTATGTTGCACGTGAATTTTCAATGGCGTTCAATAGCGTTATTATTACACATCGCAATGCGGCTTCACTCGCTCGCCCACGTAACGACTCAACTCGCGAAACGATTGCCGACAGCGAATCGTAAATTCGCCTTAACGGGTCGAATTGTAATGATATTACCTTTCACACGACGGGCGAGTAAGGAGCCGGGAAAATACGAATCCGAAGGAACTCAACCGCGGTTTTCCCTTCTCCATGAGACCTAGAAAATTAGTATTGCATATATACGGTAAGTAACGAAGGAGCCGTGTCGACGCGAGGGTACGGCGAAGGGAGGCAGTAACGAATTGCCCGGACCGGGAGCAACCGGGTCTGCTAGCTTCTTACGGTTAACGTCTTGTCGAGAAACTCGTCGAATTTGCAGGGAACGTTTCTGAGAGCATGGAAGATATCTTGTCGCGGAAACAACGGTTTCTTACAGCGGGGCGTTGCCTGCAGCGCAAGTTTACTCGCGCCGGAGAAAGTAGTTTACCGCCGGGGAAAAACTTTCAGCCGGCGGATCCCGTTCCTACGAAGATTTATTCTTCCATTCGGCGAAAATCTTGCTCGATGTCGTTGCCGTATTTACCCCAACATATCTGTTAATTAACGATTCGGCGGATATCGGCTGTTATTAGGCGTTGCGTATGCACAACTCATCCCACCACAACGAAATAGTATTGTGACACTAAGTACTATAAGTCCATTGGTGTTGAAAATCCGTACCTGGTGCGGTTAACAATTATGCAAAATCTGACTTTGCACTTCAGCGTCGCGGTGTAAAAAATCTGAATGAAACGCGCGAATCAATACGCGTCCTTGCCGGTTACTTCATAATTATCGAGGTTAAACAACGCGTACGTCACGTATTCGTCGCGCGGAATGTATATCCGCGACATGTGCGCCGAACACGAGCATTAATAGACGTATTGTCAGTAAAATATCTCAATTGCGGACGCAATAAAACGACGATACGGTTTTTCCTGCCGATAAGCGCTCTTCGTGTTATTTCAAATAAGTTTGAACGGACAAGCTGCCAAAATTAATACGGTCTTACGCTTATCAATTTCCTGCGTCACATGTAGAACATCGCTCGACATACGTAACGCGTACCAGGACAGCCATGATAATCCGAAAATCGACGGATTGCGGATTCCGCGTGCAAGCAAATTCGCGCGAAAGAGACGGACGATTCAAAATCCGGCTTGTCATTGCGAACGCATTGTAACCGCCAGGCGAAATCACCGTCGAGTCGCGTTAAACCAGTCTCCCTTTTAATCCCTCACTGACGCTAAACGCGGGTGAAAAATTCTCAATCGTAATTGCGCACGCAACATGTCCGTATTTTGCAGCGATTGCGCCCGCCATTCATTGCTTTTCGCTTCGTACGTACGTAGCCCAAAGACTCGAAAGATTAATCCGCTGCTGTCACGGGTACGAATTTAAATTTCGTCCTCCTGACGCGCCGCTCATTCTCTCACGCAGATATCAATATGCGGTCGTTATCCTTTGATACGCCGTGAGGCGACGCTAACTCACGCGCGACCTCGTTTATCTTGCATGCACGATGTACGGACGAGGCGGCGAGAATGCTTAGGCATTCTCGTCCGGTACAT